AACTTAAACTTTATTAAACTATTTACGAAAAGAAGTGAGTACGATTTAATATAGTTTTCACCTTATTAAAAGTGTTTAATCTTCATTCTTAAATATGAATATAATAATATGTGTGTGGAGGTATGACAATATAAGGATCGCTGTTCCATAAATCCCTGGACTCTGGTACTGATGGCAGCGGGAAACATCAGATGTGGAGTACTTGAAATGCTATTATGTATTAGTTTCACTTAAAACCTGTACAATTGGAGGACCAGCTAAACAATTTGTTATTTAAATTATCAATTTTAATACCATGTAAATGTCTCCCACATATTACTACTAACAGTTCTTGTTTTGCGCAATTAAAATAATAAAAAGAAGCTTTTTATATACTTGGAAATTACGCCATTAAATCAACTCAAGTAACAATTGGAAAACTGTTAAGTTTATTCATTCAATAATCTAACTTATCTGATTATAATCTCATTTTTAAAATGTGTGTTAAGTGTATTGACACTAAAATTACATTCGTGACAACAAAATAAATTGTAGGGGTCTATAAAAGTAATTTTTTTAAACTAAGCCTAATAAAAAACTGAATGTCAGTATTGAAAAAAAAATGGCTTATATTTACAGAAAATTAAAACTTATGAGAATATGGTCCTATTTTAGATAATGGAATAGTTTACAATCTATAATGAATTTTGTATTCTATTAAAATTTCCAGCCTCATTACATTATTTTGTCCATGTATTCCAGATTCGTGAAATGAGACATGAAAATATCAATCCCGTTATTGGCGCATGCGTAGACCCTCCGAACATTTGTATTTTGACATTATTTTGTGCGCGAGGAAGTTTAGAGGTGAGAATATTTGACAGTTCATTTATAGCTTCATTGTTATGATATGAGTATTGTTACAAATAATGAAATTAACAATGGATTTGTTTGAACATTTGTTTTTTGTTTTCTTTATTTAAATATCAAAATACCCTAAATAAACAGATCCTAAAATCATCATCTTTATCTTTATTGTTTCACGTTTTTCAGCTTTGGTTATTTCAAACTGAACTAGTGTAAACGAGAAATACGAAATTCCAGACAGAATCAGTTATAGATAAAGTTAAAATATCTATATTGTAACCATTACAAAAAAAAAACGGACATTTCCTTCAGAACCATGTCCGCTTTAAGACAGAACGATCGGTAAGACCCATTACCTTCATTTTCACAACACGAGTACCGTTAAGGACGACATCATCTGTTACGTTCTCACTGGCTTCGAACGTTAAGACATTAAATATATTTTGAAAACGCTCACCCAAAAAGTGAATACACAATGAAAATTCGACTCTTATTCATCGAAGCAACAAGACCAGTCCTCATAACCTGCCATTTGTTAAGTATATAGAATGACGCACGTTGTGTAATATAGATTTCCATTAAAATATCCATTTATTGATCTGTATTGAGAATTTGGTATTTTCACACCGTCTTACTTTTAAGCAATTGTGCTCGCCTTTAAGAGGTAAATATGTAATAGAACTTATTAACCCGTACCTTACTCTTGTCCCTGTATATATATATATAATATGGATTTTATAGTAATTTTTCTAAGAAGCTATTTAAGCGAACGAAAAGCGTTCGACACGAGTAACACAGAACGGGCTGGTCGAAAATATAATTGAAACTTGTGGTGAGTAAAAACACTGTTCAAACATGAATTACAGGTCACTACTACAGCTTGTACAAGAAGCCTTCTCTTGTTCTTGAATTTGCTCTTCTTGTTTCTATGTTTACCGATAAAAGTGTACAACTAAGTAACAAATTGTTCACCCAACAATAGACGAGACCCCACGTTATTTTTTATCATGAGGAAAATATCAGTTTTGGTAATAATAGAAAGGTCACATTAAAATTTTATGTTTTAATAATAGACTTAACATCTAAGGTATTTTTTGATTGCACTAACTACATCATGAACTTTATATAAAGTTATACCTTTAATTAATGTGATCTATGATTAAGTAAGATTAGCATATTTGGTTTGGATGTTGTTTAACTGGAGAGGGTTTAATATTTGGATTGGGTGGTGTTTAATGTTTGCGGGCCTGGCATAGTCTGTTGGTTAGGGCGCTCGACTGCAATGTTAAGGTCGCCGTTCTAATCCCAATATGGTTGCCGTCTGGGCTTGTCAACCGGGTGCAAAAATTCTTGGCTTACATAAATATTCCAAAACTAGTTACGAAGAAGAAGGTATTAATATCTGTTTTGGATGGTGTTTAATATTTTGTGTGGATGGTGTTTAATATTTGTTTTGGATGATGTATAATATTTGGTTTGGATGGCGTTTAATATATGGTTTGGATGGTGTTTAATATCTATTGTGGATGATGTATAATATCTGTTTTGTATGGTGTTTAATATTTGGTTTCGATGTTGTTTAATATCTGGTTTGGATGATGTTTAACATTTGGTTTCGATGGCGTTTAATATCTGTTTCGGATGATGTATAATATCTGTTTTGCATGATGTTTAATATCTGTTTTGTATGATGTATAATATCTGTTTTGTATGGTGTTTAATATCTGTTTTGGATGATGTATAATATCTGTTTTGTATGATGTTTAATATCTGCTTTGTATGATGTTTAATATCTGCTTTGTATGATGTTTAATATCTGCTTTGGATGATGTTTAATATCTGTTTTGGATGATGTTTAATATCTGTTTTGGATGATGTTTAATATCTGTTTTGGATGATGTTTAATATCTGTTTTGTATGATGTATAATATCTGTTTTGTATGATGTCTAATATCTGTTTTGTATGATGTTTAATATCTGTTTTGTATGATGTTTAATATCTGTTTTGTATGATGTATAATATCTGTTTTGGATGGTGGTTAATATCTGTTTTGTATGGTGTTAAATATATGTTTTGGATGATGTTTAATATCTGTTTTGCATGGTGTTTAATATCTGTTTTGGATGATGTTTAATATCTGCTTTGTATGGTGTTTAATATCTGTTTTGTAGGGTGTTTAATATCTGTTTTGTATGGTGTTTAATATCTGTTTTGGATGATGTTTAATATCTGCTTTGTATGGTGTTTAATATCTGTTTTGTATGGTGTTTAATATATGTTTTGGATGATGTTTAATATCTGCTTTGTATGGTGTTTAATATCTGTTTTGTAGGGTGTTTAATATCTGTTTTGGATGATGTATAATATTTGTTTTGTATGGTGTTTAATATCTGTTTTGTATGGTGTTTAATATATGTTTTGTATGGTGTTTAATATCTGTTTTGGATGGTGTTTAATATCTGTTTTGGATGGTGTTTAATATTTGTGTTTTAAAATTTAAGGCTAACTACGATTTAATTTCCTTTTGATATCGATGTAAAGCTGAAAGATTTTTCTGTTTTAAATATTATAACACAGAACGTAATTACAAAATGAGTAACATAAAATTAGAACGAATTATTCAGTATTATCATCATGAGCCCGTCTCCCGGTGGGACAGTGGGAAATCTTCGAATTTACAATCCTAAAATCAGGGCTTCCATAGCCCTCGGAAGACACAGAAGATAGTCAGGGGTTCCATTCCCCTTGGTGGACACAGCCGATAGCCCGATATATCTTTGCTATAAGAAAACACACACACACACACACATCATGAGCTCAATAAATTTCCGCGGTTTCTATAGTAATTCATGGCTCGCGCAGCCTTGTTGGAACACATGGTGTATTAAGGGTGACATGCAAACGAAAAGTTTCTGTTATAGAGACAAACTTTGATTCACTGTTCGACTATCAGAAGGTTGCTGTAGTTTATGGAAATTTACCTCTGAAACTATGTTTGCCAGCAAAAGCAGGAGCCTTTGGACAACTCCTAGGTCCATACAGTAAAATGAGCAAAATGCGCTCTGCAAATGTAAGCTTTGACATTCTTAACACGTGATTTTCTTCTCTGAGAATTGAGGAAGTGTAGAACATGAAGCCTATTTATACCTGAACAACCCTCTGGTGACGAAAAGGTGCGTCACAGAGTGTCTCTGTCATGTATATTTTTTTCTCTTTACATATCAGCTTCCGTCTATTTCGATAATGTTATGTGAATTTTGAGTTACCATGTTTATTTTCTGGCAGTCCCGATCGTGTTATGGAAATATTATATCTAGTGTCTATGGATTTCTCGTAGTGTTATGGAAATATTATAGGTAGTGTCCACGGATTTCTCAAAGTGTTATGGAAATATTATATGTAGTGTCCATGGATTTCTCAGAGTGTTATGGAAATATTATATGTAGTGTCCATGGATTTCTCAGAGTGTTATGGAAATATTATATGTAGTGTCCATGGATTTCTCAAAGTGTTATGGAAATATTATATGTAGTGTCCATGGATTTCTTCCAAATTGTTTTCTTGACAAATTATCAATGAAGCCATCTATCGTCCAAGTTTGTACTAACGGATTTATTAATACTGCATATCTTGGGTAAGATCCCTGCTGTAGTAGTAGAAAGTTTGTAAGGAAACAAAAACAACTTAACCCGGTCCGGATACGAACCCATGATCCTTATCAATGATGTGTAACCTTATCATATTCCCATACAAATATCTAACGTAAATTAGCTACAGTGTTTACATTTTTCGGACAACCAGTGTTTACAGAAAAGATGTACAGGATTCAACTTTTGAGGAATTAGTTGTTATTATCTAAATTATATTAAGCTATTTGACGTTTACTATAGATTTTGTCTTCTTAACAATAATTTAGCAATTTTTTAAAGTGTCTTAATTATAATACTTAACCTACACCTTACTCTTTTAAAAGGAAAAACAACAACAACTAGTTAATAAAGAGAATGGTCCTGTCTTAGCATCTTTGCAATAAGTTCAATAGTAATTGAAAAATTTTTGATGTGCACGAAAACAAGTATACGACTCAGAATGAAGGGAGTTTATAGAATTATCAGTTCTACTACACTAATTTGAATATTTAAGTGTTAGTATTAGATGACGTTGTCTTATCTGTGTTTTTAAATGACGTTCTTATTTTTTTAATCGTGTTCCCTGAACAACTGATTATGTTTCAAACAAGAAAGAGAAAATATAGGGATAGCAGACTGGTTCCTTTGAATACAAATGCTAAATACTTTAAAGTAGTCATGGCAACGTCTTTCGAAGTTACCTATGGACTACAACTTATAAAATAATTACAGAAGTGGTTTCTACCGCAGTGATCAAAGAGCTTCTGAAATTTAATTTTAAAAAGAACGCATTCAAATTGTGTTTTATTTAACATTGTGCAAGTATCTGTATTACGTTTTCAGTAGTGTTTAGCCATATCTTTTAAGAAAAAAATAACCTTAATATGGACTTAGATTTAACGTTTTCTTCACTTAGATGAATATGAAACCTTTAATAGATTTGGAAACGCTCTAATTAGTTAGATTTAGTTTGTGAGAAACTGATTTATGTAGATCTAACGTAAGGAAGAAACAGTAATTTTTACATCAAAACCATCTCATGTTTTCTTTGTCGTGTTTGTTCGTATTCTCCCTTTTGATTTTCCATACGAAACATTATAATTTCACATTAAAATATGTTTATTATGTATCAAAAACACTGTTTTCCTTTTGAGCAGGATGTACTGAAAAACAAAGACCTGGACCTCGACAGCATGTTTGTCGCGTCATTAGTGGCTGACCTTATTAAGGTAATGTTATTGTTACGTAAACTCGGCGTAACCAATAGGATTCTATTTGGTGGAATGTAATTTGTACAACTTAACATCAAATGTATAGATGATATTTTTATTATCGAAATATTAAATAAGTAACAATCACAAAGAATAGTTTGGAGAAATGAATACAAATCAACGTGAGAAGTGAACACTAGGTGTTTCAATAGGAAATGTTACTTGAAATTTGAGTAATGTTTGTTTTGAAAAAAATAAAACCATAAAAAGAGAATGAACAGCTTTGAAATTAAACAGTGTAAGATGAAACGTATTTAATTATCAAAACCAGTCTTAGCAACCAACAGTGTAAGATCAAACGTAGTTTAATTATCAAAACCAGCCTTAGCAACCAACAGTGTAAGATCAAACGTAGTTTAATTATCAAAACCAGCCTTAGCAACCAACAGTGTAAAATCAAACGTAGTTTAATTATCAAAACCAGCCTTAGCAACCACTACAAAAACGCTACATTTGTTATATAGAGAGGAAATCGGCTACTACATACTTTAAATGAACGTCTTTATAGGCTTACCTGATGATGGTCACACGAGTGGTCAAAAAGTTAAATAAAAATAAACAATCCACTCAAAAGTTGTATATTTTGACATTTATTTAAAAACCTTACATATATTAAAACATCACCGGGACACAGGCTATAATAAGGGGTATATGCAGTGTCTCGGTGATCTGTTTAATCTATGCAGAGTTTTTGTTGTTGTTAAAGTCTGTTTAGATATTTGAAATGCTTTTCATCACAGGTTTATTTTAGCTGTTTTTAACGCAGTCCTTCTTAATGTTAATATTTACTTAACTGTTGAAATAATGTTTTTAAGTACACACTCACACACCCATGTATATACAAGATATATATATATATATAGAGAGAGAGAAACGGAATGAGGTAATTTTAGCGGTTTTTTGCATCTGGTCACTTCAATAATGGGAAGAGAAACAAAATGCGGAATTTATTTCATTTCTTAGGGTATGATTTATCTACATGAGAGCGACATCATCTCCCATGGCAACCTGAAGTCATCTAACTGCCTGGTGGACACTCGATGGGTCTTACAGATTACCGACTTTGGTCTTCATGAATTCCGCGGGGGGCAGGAAATGACCACAAAGCAGACAAGAAGATATCAAAAAGGTTAATATCGTAATGGATTATGTAAAAAAAAGTAGTTCTATAACCGAGCTGATAGGAAAAATTGATCACTGATACTTATTAAAGTAGATTAATTAGCATAAACTCGGTTCTTCTGACACTTAAAGGCCCTCCTGTGGTTCAGCGGTAAGCGTGGTAAGTTTCAGAGCTTAAAACGCCAAAATTCGAAGTTCGATTCCTACGGTTGATACAGCCAAAATATTCATACGTATTAAAGTTGCAGGAATTCACGAAGGTTTCTGTCCACTGCTCGTCATTTCTAAGGGATGTGTACTAGTTGTTTGTTCCGGTTGATACAGCCGAAATATTCATACGTATTAAAGTTGCAGGAATTCACGAAGGTTTCTATCCACTGCTCGTCATTTCTAAGGGATGTGTACTAGTTGTTTGTTCCGGTTGATACAGCCGAAATATTCATACGTATTAAAGTTGCAGGAATTCACGACGGTTTCTATCCACTGCTCGTCATTTCTAAGGGATGTGTACTAGTTGTTTGTTTTAGCACAAAACTATACAACTGGCTACTTGCGGTGTGTCCACTGCGAAGAATCTCACCCAGGATTTTAACGTTGTAAGTCCGCCCACTTTCTGTTGTTATTTATTGATACGAAAACACTGTTAAACACTAACACTAACCTTACATTCAGAGCTTTAGTAATGAAGCTTAAGACTAAAGCAACTAAATTTAAAAATTGAAGCTTAAGACTAATGCAAATAGATTAAAACAAAATTGAAGCTTAAGACTAATGCAAATAAATACTAAAAAAATTTGAAGCTTAAGACTAAAGCAAATAAATTAAAAAAATTGAAGCTTAAGACTAAAGCAACTAAATTTAAAAATTGAAGCTTAAGACTAATGCAAATAAATTAAAACAAAATTGAAGCTTAAGACTAATGCAAATAAATCTAAAAAAATTTGAAGCTTAAGACTAAAGCAAATAAATTAAAAAAATTGAAACTTAAGACTAAAGCAAATAAATTTCAAAATTTTGAAGCTTAAGACTAATGCAAATAAATTAAAAAAATTGAAGCTTAAGACTAAAGCAAGTAAATTAAAAAAATTGAAGCTTAAGACTAAAGCAAATAAATTTCAAAAATTTGAAGCTTAAGACTAAAGCAAATAAATTTAAAAAAGTTGAAGCTTAAGACTAAAGCAAGTAAATCTAAAACATTTGAAGCTTAAGACTAAAGCAAGTAAATCTAAAAAAAATTGAAGCTTAAGACTAAAGCAAATAAATTAAAACAAAATTTAAACTTAAGACTAACGCAAGTAAATCTAAAACATTTGAAGCTTAAGACTAAAGCAAGTAAATTTAAAAAAATTGAAGCTTAAGACTAAAGCGAATAAATTTAAAGATAATTTGAAGCTAAAGACTAAAGCAAATAAATTTTAGAAAAAGGTAATGTATATTTTTAAAACGTATGCTAAAAGTAAAAAATATAAACTGTCGTTGTAACGTCCAGATTTCATGCACAAATAATGTCTACATATCATATATAATATTTGATTGCATAATTATACTAGTTAGATGAACGTCATTCCCCGCTATACAGAAAACTACGAAATTCTGTCTTTGTCATATATAACATTTTAGGTGCCATCGATTAACTCGTGTTCAATGACGAGACTGGGACATATGTAATGGAAAGTCGTAATGACGAGTCACAGATAAACAGTGTTGTAGTACACTTAGCTGTAGAACTAAAGTCGAGTTGTTCCTCGAACGTTATGATTTATATAAACATTTACAGAGGGTCTTCCAACCGTATCACCTATAATTTTCTCACAACACGTTGTTGTCTGTGTATAGAGGTCTTTACTGTTTGGGCTTCAGTAAGTTTAACAATAAAGATTGTTACCGAAAATCCCTCTTCTCGAGAGATAATTATTTTCCATGTCGTAAAACTTATTATTTCATACAGGCAGGCAGCTTCCTGAAGGTGGGCCGTTTTAAAAACGTAATTCCAACTCCACCGCCCCCCCCAAAAAAAAGCTATGAGCAAAACGGTTGAAGTTATTTTAATATTGTACATAATAGGTTTACCTTATATCAGATGTGGCACATTAATTTCTGTCAAATCCATAAGGAATAAACTCAGTCTTTACATATTTTTACAAACGTATTTTATATGTTCCACACGAAATATATTAACAATAAAACATATAACTAATTTGTATAGCCGTAAAATGTTATCAAGCCCTTGACAACAAGTGTTTATCAATATAAGTCTTATTATCTTATGAAAAAGTGAAGTTAAGCTATTAATCCTTGAAGCACTAATCCAAAGATTTAATTAAATCCATAAAAATTAGAGAAGCTGACTGCTAGACTTACTTTACCAGCCATACTTCGAAGACACGTTCTCTACAAGCTGTCGAAACAACTCTTGCTAGGGACGTTTGAGAAGTATTATCTTCTAAAAGTGAAACCCAAAGCATCTCCTAAAGTTACTCCGTATTGTCAGTAGGATTTGAAGGAAAACAAAGTTGTTAACTAGAGAGCGTTGTGACTTTAGTCGTCTTGATATGATTACCATTGAAATAAGATTTTGTATCTTTATGGTTGGGGTTTATGAAGTTTAAGATAAAGCTGTGTTAGATAACAATTCAAAGTTAAATTCTAATTTTAATAGATTAAAAATTATCCTAGTTTAACTTTTTTTAGTCACACTTCCTCACTATGTATTATTTAAGATATGTTTTGTGTTTTCACTAACTGTATCTTGTCCTTTAGTTACAGTTTTTTTTTGGTTTTGGATGTTATTTAATTGTGGAAGTGGTCCTATTCAGGCACTTTGAACACCTCTAAAGGAAGGGCTTGAAAATTATTGCGATGTTCAACTTTTGTATCATCCTGTATTTGTTTAACGTTTCGAGATTTTAAGTATAAGCTATTCTACGTTAAGGGTTAAGATTTAAGATAAAAAATTAATTTGATATTGTAATATAATTTACATGTTATGATTCTTCGTACTAATTTTGTGACTCACTTTTCGATTATTTCACACAGGGCTTCTTTGGAGAGCTCCAGAATTGTTAAGAATGCTCAATCCTCCCGCTAGAGGGACTCAGAAAGGAGACGTTTATTCATTTGGTATTATATTGTTCGAAATTGTCGGCAGAACGGGTCCTTGGGGGTCATCCGCACCTCCTGTAAAATGTGAGTACAAGACCTATAATTAATACTAAAGCTACCGAAAAAAACATTTTAGTGTTATAATACTCCAAAAACATTTCAGTGCCATATTATTCC